GGTGCCCCCGCTTCTTATGCGCCTAACAAGGGGGACCTCATCCTCATCGCCCTCCGTCTCCTCACGTGCACGCCTGCGTGCACTGGGAGCCGTCACCTCTACCTTCTGATCAGCCCGCGGTCGAGAGGATGAGCTGGATCCTCGATGAGACGAACTGCGTGATTGAGGCGCTGCAGGTGGTCGCTCGTCAAACCGCGTCTGCCTCTGCGTGGAGCTGCCCGCCCCGCGGCCTCGGGAACTCTGGGCACGTTGACGCTGATGCTCCAGTATGCTGCTCATTTCGCCTGCACAAACAAATACATAAGCCTCAGCTCGGCTAGAAATCGTTATATATAATAAAAATATACCTTCGCTGAACAGGTTTGCCACATCGACAAACCCGGCTATGGCGAGATGCTTCGAGGTAACCAGGGCTTCTAGATCTATAAGACCCTCCCTCTGTGCATGCTGAAGTAGCTGGTTCTTCAGATTGACATCTCGAGGCAGCAGTTGGGGATAGTTGATGTGGGCGTTCGGCGTGCGCCAATCAGACAGCCGGGCAGCCAGGTCATTGCTTATCCTTTCTGTTCGTGTGTCGCGAACAAAGATAAACTGTCTTTTCCACCGCGCCACTTTATTCCTCACGTTCTTGAAGAGCTGGCTCTTATCCCTCCCAGAGAGGTAGTACCATCTCGCCCCTCTTGAGTTTGGACACAGCCGGCATTGGAACAGCGACCTGAACACTATCGCCTTGGCCGGTACCTCCAATCTCGCACACAACAGCATAAAGCCCACGATGAACCTTATGCTGTTGGGCGTCAGCTGCGTCAGAGCCAGCTCGTAGTCGGCCAGCAGGTCGAACACCAGCTCGGGCAGTGGAAATCGCAGACCGACGTCAAAATGATTTGCATATACGGGTATCCAGCCCGTCCGCGACACCGAGCAAGCCCTCTCGTTCTGCTCGCCAGTTCGCACCAATATAGTCCTTGGGATGTGGTACGCCCTCACCATCTCCTCCAGTCGTTTATACCCACTTATGGAGGGCGCACAATCTGCTACTTCGTGATGAAGTGCAGCCTTGAACCTGAATCCAGCGGGCAGGTCCTTCGGTGCTTTTCGCAGGTTGCTTAACCTGCTCGGGATCGTTGCGCCTTCCCATTCCCCAATCATCGGCCGATCTGAGACATTGCTCACCACATCCCCCATTCCTTCTTCACGGCTGGGTGTCTCTTTCGTAGACGAGCTGCTTGACGATGCACTAGGGTGGTCGTCACCGTCGTCTCTGGCGCGGGAACTGGCGCTGCTCTCAGGCGTCACTGTTTCTGGTACATCCTGCAACTCCGGTGGCACTATCATAGTGATAGGCTCCACGGCTAAAACCCCTTCCTCCTCCCCATCTCTACCTTGGTTACCTCGTTGCTCTGTGAGTTCTCTCAATGAAACCATTTTTACCTGAAACTGATGTGAAGTCGATTCGGTGTGCTGTTCTTCGAGTTGGAGAGTTTCGCTTCAGAGAATTTTAGAGAGTTTAAGCAAAATGCAGAAATGAAAATGAAAAGGGAAAACGGTTACGCAGAGAAGGATATGGTAGCGTTAATTGCCGTACGCGTGTTTCTGACGCGCCAATTCGCGTCATACACGTGGCACACGCTTAACGTCCCTTCTGCATAACGTGCGCCGGCTTTAGCTGTCACGTCCCTCAAATGCTGAGCCAGCATTTATGACGGGGAAGACAAAGGGATATGGGAAGATCAACCGTATCTCCTCACAGATCTGTTTAATTCAAAAAATCCCAAGATTCAGATCGTCACTGCTGATGTGTACCTAGTACTGTCACATCAGCTCGCCATAGTGAGCACACTTACCAGATCGTTACAAACATGACATTTTGCCAGATCGGCTCAACTGTAACAATTCATCCAGCAGTGCAGATTTTTTGCTAAAATCCCCCCAATGATTCAGCTCGTCACACATCGTGACGACAACCGTACTTATCAGGTCGTCACAAAGATGACATATTCGCCAGATCGGCTCAACCGGGCCAATTCGTTCACAAGCGTAGGTGTGTTGCTAAAATTTTCCCATGATTCAGCTCGTCACACGGGTTGCAGCTCACACAGGCCGCAAACCTTCGAATAAATCAATGGATGCCCCAGGTCGCACTGGATGTGGTGGCGCTTGCCTCACCTCGTGATCATATCCAACTGAGTGTCACCTGGTTGCACCTCGGTGGTATGCAAGAGGTCAGGTCGTCACATGGACGAGCTGATCGGGTGGTACACTGTACGCGAGCTCGTCTGTGACGAGTCACTTCAGCTCGCCACCATAACGAACCCAAATTGATATGGCTCTGGGTACCTGCTCGC